GGTTCAGCCTGGCGGTATCTATGGACAGGGTCCAGCCTGGCGGTGTCTATGGACAGGGTTCAGCCTGGAGGTGTCTATGGACAGGGCTCAGCCCGGCTATATCTATTGACAGGGCTCAGCCTTGCGGTGTCTATGGACAGGGCCCAGCCTGGCGGTGTCTATGGACAGGGCTCAGCCTGGCCGTATCTATGGATATGGTTATTTCTCACACTCAGAACAGCCTGAAATGGGCAGTGTGGGTGGGACTACCCGAATGAGGTTGGTTAAGGGGAGGGCCTCAGAGACGTTCTTGTCCTGCAGCCCGTTTGCAGATGAGACCACGGAGACCTAGAGAGCGGCTGCACTTGCTGAAGGCCCTGCTGAGTCAGGCAGAGTCCGTTAGAACCCAGGCCTCTGCCTCCCAGACATGACCCCTGCCTGCTGTGCCAAACCAGCCACGATGGGATACTTCCAGCTCTACTTGTGATGAGGGTGACTCAGTTTACCCACCTATAAAATGGGGAACCACCCATTGACCTCAAGGCTGGGGCTTCAGCACCGGTGCTGGGGTTGCCCAGATGAAGCAGAGAGGGGGCTAGAGCCCTGGGCGGAAGCTGTTTGCAGTGCCCGTGCCCCGCTGGCCTCCAGAGGCCCTGGCCTCCCCGGCACTGCACTCCCAGGACCCATCCCGGATGCAGCCTGTCCAGAAAGAGACCACAGGGCCCGCCTGCTGCTACCCCTCTGGAGGGGACTCTGGTCTGCAGAGAGAACATGTGACGTCAGGCTGCAGAGAGCACCACTGACCCTCTGGCTGGTCTGAGGGAGCCAAGGCCCAGCTCCATCGCGGTGCGACTCTGGGCCTGTGCGCTCTCTGGAAAGTAGGGAATCTCGGCACGACCCATCAGGCCGCTTGGAGTTAAGGCCAACCGAGCCTCACGGTCCTTCAAGAGGCAGTCCCTGCTACGTCAGTGCCCTCACCGCTCCCTCTCCCTGTCGCACCCGGCATCCAGCCTGGCCTCCTTGCAATCTCGTGAACATGCCAGGCATGAGCCTGCTTCAGGGCCTTGCACGTGCTATGGTCTCTGCCTGGAACCTCCTTTACCTGGGTATCCACATGGCTCACTCCCTGACTTGTCTCAAGTCTTTCTACTCTCACCTTCACCATGACGGCTAGTCCTGCCCCAGCAGGTCCGGACTCCCTTACCTGCTCCCTCTTTTCCACCGAGTACTATCTTGCAGTATGCTGCATAGTTTGCTTAGAATGTCTGTTGTCTCCCCCATTTTTTCTCTTTGTTCATTGATGTATCTCCAGTCCCACTTCATGGGAATGAATGAGAGAATATATGCCAGGGATCAGCTATTTTTATTTATTTTTGGTAAAGGGCCAGGAGTAAGTATTTGTGGCTTTGCAGGCCACATGCAAACTAGTTGACCCTTCAACAACCTGGGTGTGAACCGTGCAGGTCCACTTCAACATGACTTTTTTCAGTAAATACACAGTTGGCTCTCCATTTTCTGGGCTTTGCATCCACAACTGGGAGTCCGCGGATGTGGAGGGCCAACTGTATGGATTCTTCTTGCTCCACTTATATCAGGGACTTGAGTGTCAGAGGACGTGGTGTCTGTGCGGTCCTGGAATCAATCCCCGCAGGCACCGAGGGGATGGAGTTAGGTCTCAGGGGGTCAGAAGTTATCGGTGGATTTTCAGCTGCACAGGCGTCAGGACCCCCAGCCCCCATGTTGTTCAAGGGCCATTTGCGCCGAAGTGGAACGACACCACCAGTGGGCGTGGCGGGTGGTCTGTGGGCTCCGGTGCCATCCCTGACACAGTCGTGCCCGGCGGTTCCCCAGGCCCCAGCTGAGCCAGGGTGATCTCTTTTCTGGCTCTCAGGGAGCTTACGTTCCAGACAGATAAGTAAACAGAGCAATGCAATCTCAATAAACAGTGCAAGTGCGACAAAAGAAGCGAAGGCTGGGCTGCAGTCTAGAGTGAGAAGACAGGGGAGGGACCAGGCTCGTGTTGGAGATGAAAACGCGGGGTTTGCAGCAGCTGAAGGGAGCTGGTGGGGCTGGAGCTGCGGAGGGGTGGCTTTCACTCTGCACGCAGTGGACATGCAGGCCTCCGGGTGTCCCTGGCGCCAGTCACGCGCAGGAAGGCGGCGATGAGTGGCTGAGGTGGGAGGTGGCTGGTGGGTCTGGTGCAGGGAGTGTGGCGAAGGGGAGAGGTTTCTGCAACCCTGAAGGATGGTTATGGCCTCTGTGAGACGGGCAGGGTTGGGGGCAGGGGACACCCAAGATAATTTGGGGGGAAGTCACCACACCCGCTTCTCCGCTACCACATGTGCCGGGGGCACGCGCTGGCTCATGGGGAACCGGGGCCCAGCAGGTCCGCCCAGCAGGGGAGCTCAGCGGCACAGCCCCTCGCTGCCTGGGCCTCGCTCCCTGCTCCCTCCGTGTCCTAGGCTCGGGGTATTTTTCAAGCTCCAGGAGATGGTGCCACAATGGGGTCCGCTGGCTCTAGGGACCTGTGAGCTCAGGGTCCCCAGGGCCAGCCCAGCGCGAAGGCTGCAGCCATGACCCCGCCCCGTGACTGCAGGGCTTTGGGCAGCGTGTTTCCCTCCATAGTGCGCCTCCTCGTGGCGGAGCCCGGTAGGACACCCACCGGGTAGGACAGCCGAGCCTCAGAGACGCTCAGAATAAAGCGCTCCTGGCCCATGACGCAGGGTAGGTGTACCAGGCACCGGCGGGCACCGCCTGGGGGAAGGGGCCTTCCGGAGGGGCTGGATTTCTGTGAGGTGAGAGGTGCCTGTGGGCAGAAGGTACGGTGTGGGCGCCGCCAGGCCTCACGCTTGGGGAAGAACAGGAAGTGACAGGACAGTTGGCGAGGAGTTTGGGGTCAGATCACAGAGCAGCCCCCACAGCGGGTCCTGAGTGAGGGTGGGCCAGGGGTTCCTGCCCAGCAGACCTGGCCAGCCTGTGTCCTTGAGGGGCCTTCCTTGAGCCTCCCGTCCCTGCTGCTGTCCCCTCATCTTCCCAGGGTTTTGCCACCAGGGCAGGTCCCTCTGGCTTCGCCTCTCTCTGTGAACACGGAGTTCAGGGGCCGGGGCTTTCCTGGGCCCAGGGAGAGCGGCGCAGGGGGAGTGGCCCGCAGGGGTCTAGAGGGGCTGGGGGAGCTGAGTGCTCCTGCGTTCTCCCCCTCGCCCCCCACTTCATAGATAAGAGCCAGAGGCCCAGGGGGTGAAGCAGCCTTTAGCTGGGACAGTTGACCAGGGACACGGACCCAGGTCCCTGCAGCTCTGGGTGTAGGGCTCTGAGCTTCTACCAGGTTGCAGCTTGCCCCGCTCTGCAGAGGAGAGTTCTGGTCGCTCAGACCCGGAGACCGACCGGGTGTCCCCGAGATTCATCGGGGACTCCTCCGGAGCCTGCAGGCAACTGCATGCTGGCGGCTGCGCTCGGTGACAGCGAGCCTTTGCTGGCCGCTGTGTGCCACCGGAGCGAAGACAGGAGTGGCCCACCTCCACACCTCGGCTGTGCTGCCCTGTGGCCTGTCAGTCCTCGCCCTCTTAGGGGCCTGCTGCCACCAGGGAGGGTGGAACTGGCCTTGAGCGGAGAGGGGGGTCAGGCAGCTGGGGAGTGACTTCTGGAGGATGAGATGCAGAGACTGGGTGTCGAGGCCTGGAGGCAGCAAAGTGCTGGGCGCTGGATGGTGTGGCCAGTGTCACCTGTGCTTAAAGGGACCGTGGCCGGAAGGTCAGGCACAGACCAGGGCTCCGCTCTGAGGGCAGCTGGGGTTCAGGGAGGGTCTTTCGTGGTGGCCGGAGGAGGGCCGGAAGGAGCCTGCTCGCTGGAGCCTCCTGCACCCCCTGCCCGCGGCCTCCCGCCTGGCATCCCACTCTGTTTTCCTGGGTCTGACCTGATGAAGCCCTTCCCTCCCTGTGCCTCCGTTTCTCCTCTAGTCTCACGGGAGCTGGAGGTAGATGCCTCAACACACGCGTGCGCGCACACACGCTGGAGCTGCCACACACAAACATGCACACACAAACGCACACACACACACACGTGTCAGTCTCCACACAGCTGGTGTCCTCCCCAGAAGAAGGTGAGGAGCCTGGAGGGAGGCGCGGCAACGTGGGCTCTGTCCTAAGGCCCCGGAGCAGGGTGTCTGCAGGCCTCACCCCCTGCAGTGCTGGCAGCTCCAAGTTGGACCGGGCGCTGGGGCAGCTCCAGGGGCTGGTGCCCCCGGCCTTGCAGACTGGCCCACAGCCCGCCCAGCCTTCTCAGGAGCTTGTGGCCCCAAAGGCTATTTCGGGTGTCTCCCCTCGTAGCCAGCACGGAATGGCCGGCCTGGCAACGGGCAGGGCCCTCCCTTCTCTTTCTGGGCCCCCTGCACAGGGGGATGGGCAAGCTCTGGGGGGCCGGGTCCAGAGCTCACCCTGGAGCTCGGGTTCTTGCCCCAAATGGGTCCTGGGCCGGCAAGGGTGGTATCGAGCCCAGCCCCTGGGTCCAGCCTCAGCCCGACACACAGTCCTGACTCATTCCAGTCCCGCCGGGGCATGAAGCAAGACCGCCTTCCCCCGCCCACCCCGGTCTCCTCTCGGAGGCCCTGGCTGACAGGGAGCAGGGAGTGGGGTCCAGACAGGCTCCCCTGGACAGAGGCATGTGCACCTGCTTCCGGAGGCCTCTAGTCTTTGTGGGCCTCCCCCAGGAAGCCCTCCTTGGGTCCTCCTCCTCAAGGATCCCCTGGGAACCACAGGGCCAGGGCTCTGCCCTTACCCCCCGCAGGGGCCAGGTTCAGTAGCAAGGCTGCTCCCCGGTGGGCATGGCTCCCTAGGACTTTCCACCAACACTAGCGTCCCTGCTGCAGTGGCCCGGCCAGGCCCTCCTCTGCCCGCACCCAGCCCCTGGCAGGTGGGGTCCCTCATCCACAGGGCGCTGAGGCCACTGGGGGAGTGAGCAGCTGCGGGGGGCTCGCTCACCCTGCGGTCCCCTCAGGCCTCTACACAGATGCCTTTCCCACCCAGATCGACCTGTACGCGGGGGCTCTGTTCGTGCACATCTGCCTGGGCTGGAACTTCTACCTGTCCACCATCCTCATGCTCGCCATCACCGCCCTGTACACCATCGCAGGTACAGCGCCAGGCCCGGTCGGGTGGCAAACTGGAGAGAGGGGTCCTGACTGCTGGGCTGGGCATTGGTGCAGCAGGGCGGACACGTGCCCGAATGTGAGAGGCCAGCAGAGCCCATGGGCATGAGCAGGAGGTGGGGCCACCTCCCCCCCACAGCCCTGGACAGCTGTAGTCCGGCTGTGCTGGCCCTGCTGCCTGCTCCCACTGCTCACCCACCCGGGAAAGGGCAGGGCCTGGATGTGGAGCAGGAGGCCCGCCTGGAGCCCTGGAAGCGCTCCCTGGTCCCTGCTCCCTCGGTACCAGGCCCTCCAGCTCCCTCTCTCCCCCACAGGCGGCCTGGCTGCTGTGATCTACACCGATGCCCTGCAAACGCTCATCATGGTGGTGGGGGCTGTCATTCTGACGGTCAAAGGTGAGGGCTATGGACTGGCAGGGCCACCCAGTAGCACGCCCTTTGGGGTCTGGGCGTCGGCGCCTGGTGCAGAGCTGGCTCAGGGCTGAGGGTGAGGTGGGGCCCAGGGCGGATGTGCAGACACCCAATGAGACCACAAACCTGCCTGGGTGTCTGCTCCGATTGTTAAGAACCACAGACAAGAGCCCAGAAGCGCTGGGCAGGGCGGAGGAGCACAGGGCGAGGCAGACCTGACCTGGCAGAGGCTGTCCCGGGGCTCCAGGGAACACCTCGTTCCTGGAAGGTGCCAGCAGAGCCAGGACCCCACAGAGGGGGCCAGTCTCTTCCAGATTCAGGCGCCAGATCCCGTGGCAACATCTGCCTCTTGTGTAGTGTTTGTACCTTTGCTCTGAGCACTCACCCCGGCCTGGCCTGGGCTCCAGGTGGCAAAGATGCTGGGCCCAGAGTCTGGGCAGCAGATGTCCCGCGTGGGAAAGGTGGGGAGTAGGGCCTGGGTTCTCCTGGGTCCAGGCTTCTGGGTATCTGCTTCCTCTCAGACCAGGGGCCTGAGACCCTAGAGCCCACTGCAGGCGAGAGGCCTGGGCGGCCAGGCCCGGTCTGGACAGAGGGGAGTGACTGCAGACACAGCCAAAGCCACAGGGGGCCAGGCTGGGCCATGAGGGGCTGACCCTGAGGTAGACAGGAACAGTGAGGGGGCATGTGGTCTGGGCTTGAGGCCCAGCTGGCTCTGTCACACCCTCCCTGTCCCCCGGGCCTGGTTTCCTTCCTCAGGCCGTCACTGCCCGCCACTCTCCGCCTGCCCCAAATCATGTCCTTCAGAAGCCCCTGGGGACGGACTTTAACTCTAAACTCCTCAGAAGGTCCTTACGTGCTGAGAAAAAGTACTTTTCTTCCCTGAACTGAGAGTTTAAACCCCGTGCCCACGGCCAACCAGCATCAGAGGCCATGGGACCACGTGCTCATTTAATAGTATTTAAATAGATAGAAAACAGTGGGGGACT